GGGGGCGGGATTTGGGCGCAGGTCTGCGCATCCTGAATGGTGGGGGTGGGACTCCGGCGCTGGTCCGCACAGCCCGAACGATGGGGGCAGGATTCGGGCGCAGGTCCGCACAGCCTGAGCCCCCGAGCACTGAGCCCACACGGTGGCATCATGTTTCCAAAGTGATCTCACTCCCGAGTCTCAAATGTTCCCAGGAGCAAGGAAGGCAAATGCTACTCCCTCATTTACAGGTAGGAAGGCCAAGGCCCAGAGAGGTCCCCTGCGAGTCCTGCCCCTCACCTGCTGTCCTCTTGTAGGGTTTGGCCCTCACGGCTCCAGGAGATGTGGGGTGTGGGGTACCCAGAGGCTGAGCAGCTGACCTTCACCTCCACACCCTGGGAGAAGTGCTGGGAGCTGGTGTGGATGCTGACCTGTGGGGCCTCTATAACCCAAAAAGTGGATGGGTGAGGATGAGCCCATCAGAGCAGCCGTGCCTTCCCAGGCACCCAGCCCCGGGCCCTTCCCCTCCCACAGTCACAGATGGGCAAGACAGAGAAAGCAAAGACCCCAGAGGGCTTCAGTCCCCCGGGGGTGGCTTCTCTGGGAACTGGGTAGACCAGGCGGCCACCAAGCACATCCCCAGGCCACATGGAGGCTGATTTTCCAACCATCCCAGCCTGGAGCCCTGTGCCCCTGGAACATCCACTCCAGGTTGAGCACTCTGGGGAGCCTTAGGGAGACGTCAGGCCGCTGCCCGGGCTGGGAATGGCTCCTGTCTCCAGTGACCTTGAGGCTGACCCCAAGGCCTGCCCTACTATTGGCCCCAAGCTTAGGTTCTAACCTGGCCTTTTGGAAACTACAAACAACAGGCTGGTCAGACTCAAACAGAGCTCACAGGCCCGCACATCTAGAAACAGCAACCACAGCCCTCCCACACTGGCGGCAGACACCGCTGGTGGATCCCTCCTTCCTGCAGAGCCTAGACACAGCCTCAGAATCCTGCCCAACACACTCCAGCAGCCACTCAAAAGCCACTGGCACAAGAGAGAACACTTGTTCAACATCCTCGTTTTTACACTTGGGGAGGAGGCTCTGTCTAGATTCTCGGTAGACCTGAGGCCATACCCGGATCTTAAAACTCCCATATGGGTGCTCTTGGCACTGCCTCCTCCGCCCCCATCTAGTCAGTGCTGCCCGATCTCTGCCAAATACATCTGACTTCTGAGCTTCCACAAGGTTCCAGTGTTCAGTCCCTGCCCTACATATTGGGCAGGGTGCAGTGGGGAGTGGGGAACAATGGAGGGGCTCGATGGCACAGAAAAAAGGACAAGACACAGTGAAATTGGCTTGGCCTACAGCAGTAGAAATTTAAGTTAGGTATTAGGAGGAACTTTCCAGCAGTGAGAGTCATTAGACTTTGACTAGGAGGCTACAGAATTCTCTCTCCCTGAAAGTTCAAAAAACATTGAAAGGGCTGCTGTTGCCTACCAGAGACAATGTCTGAGCAGAGGGAGGGAGTCACGGCTTCTGGGGTAAACACTAGGTCGAGTGTTGAACCAGGGAACAGCAGCAGCAGAATGAGCCTCACCTCGCACCAGGAGCCAGACGGATGCCCTTGTGACCCCATTGGCGTTGCTGGCCATGCACTGGTACCTCCCGCCATCTGTGGGGATGATGCCCCTGACCTCCAGGGACAGGTCAGCCAGCTGGGCGACTCGGCCCGTCGAGGCCGGCAGGACTCGCCAGTCCCGGACCCACGTCAGGTTGTAGGGGGCCTCGCCTAGGACCTGGCAGGATAGGATGGCAGTCTCCCCTGGGGACACGGTCACGTTGGGAGCAGGGACCAGCTGCGGCGGGGGATCTGCAGGGACATAAGCACAGGAGGAACCGAGGACCTGAGGCAAGGGAGGGGGTCATCGTGTAAGCCCAGATGCTGCCTAGACCTGGGACCCTGCTCTAACCCCACCCTGAGGTGCAGGTCCGCCGGAACCAGATCGTTCAGGATATGTCAGCCAGCAGCATGGGTGACCAGCATCTGCTCACCATCAGGCATCACCCCAGTGGGAGGTCATTTCTCCCACCACCATTATACACCCGCCAGGGACTGCACGATACACGCCTGCTCTCCAAATAACAGCCAGTGCAATGTGCAGCAAGCCGGGCGCCCATCTTCGTGCCTCCGAGTCGAAGATGCCACACTGAGGAATAAAGCCTTGGAAATCTCCAGCCAGGGGAAGAGAGCAATGTGTTCAAAACGGTTCTCTGTACCAACAGCAAGGCTATTTATAGCAGCCAAATATGTCCCCAGGGAGGAAAGCACTAAGCAAACTGCTATCTGGATAGCAAAAAGCCACAAGAAGTGGCAAGATCAGAGACTGCTGAACATAGAAAAAAACCGAAAAGGAAGTAAATCAAATGGCAGAATGGAGGGATTACAAGTTATTTTGATCTTCTCTTTCGTTGTTTATATTTTTCCAGCCTCCCTACAAGGAGCATGTGTAGTTTCTGGCTGTCTATGTAGAGTGGCTGATCTTTCCACACTTACGGGTTCCTTTTTTTTCCTCTACAAAGCAGCTTGCATTCGTAATTTTTAAAATAAAACCAATTTCATTTGGAGACAGTCTGTGGTGTTTCCAACCTCCCCAGCTCGATGGCACCATCCCGGCCAGGACTTGGAGGCACAAAGGTTGTCCTGACTGCGAGATGGATGGCGGCCCCTGAAAGCCGAGCCTCAAGAAGTCAGAGCTGGGATCAAAGCTGGGCAGGGCAGGAAGACCCAAGCCGCGTCCTCAGCCTTCCTCCAGCTGAGACCCACAGGCCGTTCCTGGGTGAGACAGACACAAAGGAAGGGCAGCAGGCAGGTGGCAGCCTGGGTAGCCAGACGCGGGATGACGAACAGTCCCGGCAGCTGGCTGGAGACTCACCGGGAGGAAATCCTAGGCGGAAGAACCCAGGAAGAGGGTAAGAAGGGGTACATGGAGGGGCCCCAAGGGACAGACCTGTGACGACAATCTGGGCCTTTGCTCGCCCGATCCCAGCCCTGCTGATGGCTGTGCACTCGTACATGCCCTCCTCGGCCTTGGAGGCCCGCGGGATCTCCCAGCTGCTGTTTCCTGACTGCCTGTGAACAGGGAACAGTAGGAGACGCACAATCACTGGTCAGGGCCTCCCTGGCCTCATCTGCCCCTCAGGACTTCAGTCCCCTGAATCCTGCCCCAAGGGCAGACCCCAATTCCTCTGTGAGACGCAGTGAGAAGACGTACACAGCCAAGTACATGGACAGTCCATGACATGCTGTGTGACTTGGAGTCAGGTCCTTACTCTCTCCAAGTCCTGGGCTCCCATCCTTCCTGCTCTGATGCCCACGGCTGGGCCCTGCATGGGCTGAGTTTTCCGGGAGCTGAGGAAGGCCCCCGGCTTCTTCACCAGCTGATGGCCCAGCAGTGGTGGGAGTCTCAGGGACAAATTTCTCCATCCCTGGCTGCACTGGAAGTCCCAGGCTGGGCTGCCCAGGAGGACAGTGACAGAGACCAAGGTCTCTCTCCCGCCACCCACTCCCCTGAGATCCCTCCCGGGCCTCAGCAGCCAGGAGCCTGTGGCTGGGGACAATCAGCTGCCGGGGGCCACTCACTGAAAGTGCCTCTCTTCGCCCAGCCTGGCTTCACCTCGCCGCAGCTGTAGCCGGAAGGGAAGGGCGCTGTGCACCGAGCAGGAGACCAGCAGGGGCTGGTGCAGGTAGCCATGGATCCTGGGGGCCATGCTGACGAGGGGAGCGCCTGTAGGCAGGGACCAGGACTCAGAATGTCTGCCCACCGCCCCCTCACCCCACCCAGTGACACAGAGACCCGTAGGGATGTACCAGCAGCCAGGAGGCCAGGATTCAACCCCTGGCTCCACCACTTGGTGGTCACCTCTCTAAGCTCAGTTTTCACCTCTGCAAAATGGGGTGATCATGGTACCATCCTCCCTGTGTTGTCCTGAGGAGCTGGTGAGAAGTGGTGCATGGAGAACTCGTGGCACAATACATGTGGCATCACCAGTTTCCCTAGGCGCAGCTCCTGGGGCTTTTGTGGTTTGTTAGACTATTCAACTCAAGACTGGCCAGCCCGGACCAGGCCCTTCCGCTGCACCGCCTCAATTGTATGAAATCCGATGAAATGCTACCAACTAGGATTAGGCTCCCAAGGGTATGCGTGGGTTTGTGCAATTGCTTCTCTGCCTAGAACATCAGTTTTACCCAACTTTGTTGGAAATAAGCCTTTTCATTTAAAAATTAGCCCACCAGTCCAGGCGCAGTGGCTCACGCCTATAATCCCAGCACTTTGGGAGGCGGAGGTGGGCAGATCACGAGGTCAGGAGTTCAAGACCAGCCTGGCCAACATGGTGAAACCTTGTCTCTACTAAAAATACAAAGCTTAGCTGGGCATGGTGGCCTATTCCTGTAATCTCAGCTACTACTCAGGAGGCTGAGGCAGGAGAATTGTTTGAACTGGGATCCGGGAGGCGGAGGTTGCAGTGAGCCAAGATCGCACCACTACACTCCAGCCTGGGCTACAGAGAGACACTCCATCTCAAAAAAAAAAAAAAAGGCACAGCTAGAGGATGGGTATAAATGCAAAATTCGCACACATTTTTGAGATAAAACCAGAGACTTCAATAAAATTTCATAGCTTGTAATGAGCCCTATGGGACCCCAATCAGACGCCACTGTCCCCCTGGCCTGAGCCTGGTCTTGGAGTGACACAGTCCCTTCCCTTGGCTATTGGAATTACTTCAATGGAGAAGTCTGAGAAACTGCCCCACAGGGTTGGCCGTGGCCCATCAGAGCTGGGTGCTCCCTGGCAAGGGCTCAATCTGTGTATCACTGTCTCCCCATCCCCGCCAGCAGAGGAGCCCAGCAGAGATGCTCCGGGGGTGAGACAATGCACTAGACCTCCTCGGAGCCCAGGCTGGGGATGGGCAGGCAGTGGTGACATCATGCTCCAGGCTCCCTGCCACATCTGTCCCGGGGGGGAGGGGTATCCGACCATCCAGCCACGTCCTCGGCTGTGTGCAAAGCCGTCGCCGCTCACCCACGCACCCTGGGAGCCTCTGCCAAGCCAGCTTGGGCTCCCCATTTCCATGAGCTAAAAGGGACCGCCCTCATCTCTCCAAACCCAGAGCCACCTGCTACAAGGCGAAATCCCAGCCTTCCAGACCTGGAGGGCAGGGAAGGAAACAAAAATCCAAACCAATCCCTCCCCCAACTCCAATCTAGAGCTGAGATAGAGAACAAAAGCCAGAGCTAAGCTCCAAACTCTTGGATCCATCTGAAAGAACAGGGGAAAGAAAACAGAGGCTGTTATTCCCCCTGCTGAAATTCCTTCCTGAAAGTTCCTCCTCAAGGCTGCAAAGGCCAAGGGAAGAGAGGCCCCGGAACCACAGGAGGGGAGTGGAAGCTGGGAGGCTGGAAAGAATAGGTCTCCAGCTCTCCTGCCCAGCCCTGCCCTGCCCCACCCAGGTCCTCAAAGTCCTCTACCAACCATGGGCACCATGGGCACGATGGGCACCATGGCCAGCCTCAAGAGCTGGCCTTTCTTCCCCTCCCTGCATCCCTATTTGAAGTGGACAGAGGAGGATGCCTCTCACTGAGATCTCCCACAAAGAAGTGCTAGAATGTTAGTGACATCCACCTTTGTAAGCTCCCCTCAGGCCACCTCCAGGGGAGGGAGACAGTGAGCAGGAGAAAGGCAATGAAGCCAGCAGGAGAAAGGCAATGAAGCCAGCAGGCAAGATGACCAGTGGCTCTAGACATCCCTGCTAGGACCAGGGGCAGATCTGAAAGGCCAAAGATCCACCCATCTCCCTGGGAGCTTCCAGCCTGAACAGTGATACCTCAGGGACACTCAGGAAACCAGCAAAAAGCCACACATATGGGAACCAACAGACCATGGCCAAAGATTAGAGGACAAATCGACCTGTTCCTGCAATGATGTAATGGTAACAGCAGCTGCCACACTGGAGGACCCTTGCCCACAAATGGATACATTCTGAGTGTGGCCTCTGAGGACCCAAATGCTATCTTGTTGTGTGCATTAGCCTGGGCACCCCCAGGGCAGCCCTGTGAGCCAGGTGGGCTCAGTTTCCTTATCTATGAAGTGGGGACACACCTCAGAAAAGCTGTAAGCATCAGTGAGCTAGCACATGGCAGGAGCTTGGCCCAGGACTGCCCCATGGAAAGTGTCCAAATGGTGACTTAGATGATTGTGATTATGACAGCGATTGTGATTATGGAAGAGCAAATGCCCATGTCTTCCCTGCCCATTGCTGTGTCTACAGTGCCTAGCACCATGACTGGTACATAGTAGATACTCACGATGAATGCTGAATAGATGGGTGGATGGGTGGGTGGACAGGTGGGTGGATGAATGGGTGGATAGATGGATAAACAGATGGATAGATAGGTGAATTAATAGTGAATGGGTGGGTAGATGGATGGGTGACTGAAGGGGTGAGTGGATGGATGAATAGATAGATAGGTGGGTGGGTGGATGCACGAGTGGGTGAGTGGATGGATGCATGAATGGGTAAGTGGATGGATGCATGAATGGGTAAATGAATGGGTGAGTGAATGGGTGGGTGGATGGATGAATAGGTGAGTCAATGGATGCATGACTGGGTGGTTGGATGAGTGGATGAATGGGTAGGTAGATGGATAGGTGAGTGAATGGGTGGGTGGATGGGTAATTGAATGGGTGGGTGGATGGATGAATAGGTGAGTCAATGGATGCATGAATGGGTGGGTGGATGAGTGGATGAATGGGTGGGTAGATGGGTAGACGAGTTAATGGGTCAGCGGATGAATGAATGGGTGGATGGATGGATGAATGGGTAGATGGATGAATGGATACTGAATGGATGACTTTGTTCTAAACCTTTGAGCCGAGAGCCACATCTGAAGCACCTTAGTATTTAACAAAATGCCTTATAGGGAATAGCTGTCCATAGAAGCTTAACGAACAAATACTTTCTAATCTAATTTAATCTAATCCAGTCAGGGAAGGCTCCAGGAAGAAATGGGACTCTGAGTGAGCCAGGGGGCTGGGGGACAAAACAGCCAACCACTCACCTGGGGCCATCCCACTGTAGGACACTCCAGAGACACGAAGGAGGGGGTTTCCCTCATGGTCCTTGCCCTTCACCTTGAGGTAGAAGTGCTCCTTGGGGGTGTGGAAGGGCGGCCCGCCCCACAGCTGATGGGTGGAGCCATTGGAGAGGGTCTTCATGGGCAGGGTCAGGAGGGGCTTCCCTGAGCTCTGTGCCAGCTCCACCGAGTCTAGGAGGCCAGGTGCCTGCAGGCCCGTGGAATTGATCACCAGGGAGATGGGGACCCCTGCAGAGGGAAGGTGAAGAACAAAGTGCTGGCGTCAGTGTCTGGCTCTGTGATCCACCTCAAGTAGGGGCCCTTGAACCACACCCCAGGGGTCCTACTTGCCTGGCCCTTCCTACCTGGTTCCTCCTTCCCTACATACCCTGGTGCTGACTAACGCTGGGGATGGGATAGGTAGAGAGGGACCTTGCTACTGTCCGTGGTGCTGAAACACCACAGTCGTCCAACCACGGCTTCCCAATGGCTGCATCCCCTCTGTCTGCACTGACTTGGAGTCCCATGGAGTAGAACTGTCCCCCACCCCATTAGCTGTAGTGTGGGTCATAATCAGACAGGTTTCAGGGAATGGTCTAAGATAAAGCAAACACCAAGTCTGGGGACTCCAACTTCTGACCAGACTCTCCCCATGGTCACGTTTTCTTTGGTTTTCTTTACTGTCTTGATGGAAATGTGGTACTTTTCACACTATCCCAGAAGAGGCAGAACTGGACTCCAATTTCATAATATCTTTTAAAAATTTCTGCCGGGCGCGGTGGCTCAAGCCTGTAATCCCAGCACTTTGGGAGGCCGAGACGGGCGGATCACGAGGTCAGGAGATCGAGACCATCCTGGCTAACACGGTGAAACCCCGTCTCTACTAAAAAATACAAAAAGAAAAAACTAGCCGGGCGAGGTGGCGGGCGCCTGTAGTCCCAGCTACTCGGGAGGCTGAGGCAGGAGAATGGCCTAAACCTAGGAGGCAGAGCTTGCAGTGAGCTGAGAGATCCGGCCACTGCACTCCAGCCCGGGCGACAGAGCAAGACTCCGTCTCAAAAAAACAAAACAAAACAAAAAAAACAAAAAACAAAAAAATTTCTGTCATCCAGGCTGGAGTGCAGTGGTGTAATCACAGCTCACTGCAGCCTCAAACTCTTGGGCTCTGGCAATCCTCCCACCTCAGCCTCCCAAGTAGCTGAGACTACAGGTATGCACCACTATATCTGGCTAATTTTTTAAATTTTGTAGAGATGAGGTCTTGCTGTGTTGTCCAGGCTGGCCTTGAACTCCTGGCCTCAAGCTATCCTCCTACCTTGGCCTCCCACATGTTTCTCTTTAAAAAAAATTATCATGACCTGGCATGGTGGCTCATGACTGTAATCCCAGCACTTTGGGAGGCTGAGGCAGGCAGATCACCTGAGGTCAGGAGTTCAAGACCAAACTGGCCAACATGGCAAAACCCTGTCTCTACTAAAAATACAAAAATTAGCCAGGTGTATAGTGTGCACCTATAATCCCAGCTGCTCAGGAGGCTGAGGCAACAGAATTGCTTGAATCCAGGGGCAGAGGTTACAGTGAACAGAGATTGCACCACTGCACTCCAGTTTGGGTGACAGAGTGAGACTCCATCTAAAAAAAAAAAAAAAGATCTTGGATATACATCTTTATCAAAAGCAGAAACCCAGCAAGGTCACATGTGGCCTCCTGCACCCACTTCCGTTGGGGACAGGCCCTGGGGACAGGTCAGTTTTCAGTCCCCATACCATCACTACACGTAGGATATCTTGGCTGTCCTGGCTGAACAGTGGAATCAAAGTTTCCCTGCTTCTTCCCTTTCTGCTATCAGCAAAACACACAAACTGAGCAAGCAGCCCCTTTTCACTTTCAAGATATGACTCCCGGTCCTGGCAGGAAAACTGATAAGGGCTGACAAGAAAAACAAACATTAGAACAGACAGACTCGAAAGAAAGCACTGAAGGTCTGGCTTGCACCATTTTTGGTCACTGTTCAGGGTCCAGAGTCAGCCTGACCTGATCCAGGCTCCTCCTAGGAAGAGCTGAGCTGAGCTGAGCTGGTCCCTGCAAAAGTCTCCAAATGGTCCCATGACAGGGACTACATTTTCCCATCTATAAACTGAGACCTTTGACCTGGCCACCAGATGGTATTTCCTGGCGTGGAGCTCAGGCAGCCTGCACCAGAAGCCTGCCTCGGTGCCCAGGCTTCTCCCAGTGGAACCTTAGTGAGCATGCAGGCATTCTCGGACCCTGGTGGGTGGTTTCCAATTGGATGCCTGTGCCTCCACCCTCAATATCCCCCTAGGCTCCTCCAACCTTCCTCAGTCTTGGGACACCCAAATGTCCCCCAGGACATTCCTTCCTTTGCAGTAAGGCACTGCTTTCCTTTTTTGGTAAGCCGTCAACTCGCTGGCACGTGTTCTTTCATTGAACTGGCCTCTGCTGTTCACTGGAAAACTGAAGAAGTAGGACTCTAGGCAGAGTTGTTTTGACAAAAAGAAAGGAGAAGGTGTGAACTCAATAATAAAGGGCACAGTGTAAGTGTCCTCCAGGACACTGACTTTGGAGGCAGGAAGGATGTTCTAAAGGTAAATGTCACAATGTCACCTGGCTGGGGCTAATGGAAAGAATGCTGGCCTGGAAGCTCAGTTTACATCGCTGTGGTCTGGGGGCACAGCCCCACTTGGCCTCCTGTACGGTCCCTTTCACAGTCACACACAGCCAAGCGTTCCCCCATCACTTCCCACCTACCTCCCAAAGCCAAGCCCCAGGTCTTCAGAGGCAGCGCAGCACTGTCTGTAGGGTTGGGGTACTGTACCTTGCAAGGGCCACTCGAGGGTGCGGTTGAGGTCCAGCGAGGGCTGAGTGGAGAAGCCGGCTCGGAAGTCAATGTTGCTGACGCCTGTGATCCTCACGGAATGGCGGCCACTGCTATAGACCTAGCACAGGCCCAGGTCTCACATCACCAGAGGATGGGACCCCAGCACTCCAGCTTAGGGCAGGAGGCGACCAACCTGACCCAGCCCTGCATCAGCAGCTGGAATCCTGCTTTTGTAGACACACGGGCAACTTACCTGCTCCCAAGGGGCCCAGCACAATGCTCCCCAAATGAAGGAGCTGAAGCCCCAGCTTATGACCCCAACCTGAGCAGCACTCTTGAAGCCGTGCTGCCCCTCAGCTCGCCTCAGCCCCTGCAGGCCCTGTCTGTCCCCCTGCACGTCTAACTCCCTGCCTTGCCCTCCCCACTGGTATTACAGCTCTTGGCTCAGAGGTGCTCAGAGTTTGAAAGGCAGGTGGTGGTACTGCCACTTTACCTGCAGCACCTAGCACAGTGCCTGCAGAAGGTGCTCAATACATGTTTGCCTGGTCAGCAGAAACCCCCCCTCTTCCAGGGCAGCCGCCTGCCCATCCCAGGATGCTCCGTCGGGAGCCAAGCTGGCCCGCAGTCCCTCGCTCCCAGCACCTTATCTATTCCAGCAGGCCCCTCCTCTTCCTGCCAGCCCTGCCCCACTGAGCCCTCCCAGCAAAGTTGCTCTTGCTTCTTTTACACATTCTTCACAGCTTGGTCATGCACCTCTGAACCCTGAAGTCATTTCTCCAAGTCCTTCTTAAATGTTCCCAAACTAACCCCAAACCACTCCATTTCTTCTTACTGGTACAAGGCAGAATGCCCTTCCTCTGTCCTTGACCCTTTACTTCTGTTGATATGACTATATCACCACCCACACTCAAGCCATCAGCTTCCCGAGGCCACAGGCTCCCCAGGGCAAGCAGGAGGAAGATGGTTCCAGCCCAGTGAAGCTAGTCCACTCTTCTCCTGCAACCCAGTGCCCCTACCTTGATGGACCACAGCCCAGGATGCTCAGGCTTAAAGGCTACGACCTTGGCCGAGTCAGGGATGTTGAGAAGCACTTTGAGGCCCTCGTCCTCCTGCAGGATCCTCCCTGTGGAAGCCCCAAGGGCTGCTCAGTCCCTAACCCTTTCCTGGGGGTGGCAGGATTCCCGCATGTCTCCAGGAATCCACAGTGCACCAAACACTAGCCTCAGTCTTCCCAGAACTGACAAGGTGTCTTGCCTTGAGCTGCTGCCTCACTCCACGCTCCACCCTCAAGGATAACCAGGGGTGGGCTGTGTGTTTGGCCTCTAGACCTGGGCGCTCATGACATCCTCAGAGCACCATGGGGCCAGGTGACCACGTCTGAATCACACTGCCCCTGACTCTGTTGACCTTGATGAGCACTCAGCACCCGGAGCCCCAGCTTCCCATCTGTACGATGTGCTACGAGTTCTCACCACCATAAGAATCCACTGGGGTACCATGGAAAAGACTTGGGGAGAGCCTCACGATCCAGGGACCACCACTACTTTAATTCCCATCGTCAGTTGCCATGGCCCTCCTGCTTCCTCGCACACCATGGGCACCCTCTCTCCACTTCGTGCCCCACCACCCCACATTTCCTTCTTCCTAGAGCCTCATGTCTGAAGCCCTGCCACCCTTGGTCTCTTTCTTTTTTCCATCCTGGGCTTCCAGCTTAGTCTTGGGGCCAAAGAGGAAGCCAATCCCGTGGTGGTCCATACCCAGTGGATCTTGGACTTCAATCTCAGGCCCTGGCCCACTCAATGAGATGGTGACCTCCTTCAGGCTGGGGTCAAAGGGGAGTTTCCATGTGTGCTCCCCCTCCTCCTCGTGGTCTGTGGACAGCAGGTGCACCTTGGAGGCCTGGATCGCCGACTCCACCCACTTCAGCACCTGGAGGCAAGTATGAGGAGCTGATGCCAGCAGGTGCCCACACTGCCTTCCCCCTCCCATGGATTTTAGGCAGCATACAAACTTTCCAGGTTGCCCAAGGCCACCCCACTCCCCCATGTCCAACACCAGGCCTGATTCACACATGTGACCCTCCTGGCTTCTATAGGCTCCAAGCTGTGAAGCCTGAATTCAGGCATTCGGAGGACTCAGCGCAGAAGGAGCAAGGGTGTGTCCCTCGGCTGGGAAGACTCTTCCCCACTTCTCCACCTGGCCTCCTTCCACAGCACCCATACTTCCTCCAGGTGCCTCTTACACACAATGAACCCTGGAGATCTGGAAACTCCCCCAGACTCATGTAGTTCATGACCGATTATCCCAGGGGCCTCCAACTGTTCTCTCACCAGGGCGCCAGGTTCCCTAAGCAGGACCGAGAGGCACTGCCGCAAAGACTTCATGTCTCTTTCCAATCCACAGAAGGTAAGGAATTGCTGGATGGATTTTTGCAATGTTGAGAAATCCTAAATCCTTGGTTCCTATAATATTATCCATTCTAAAATCTTACATCCTTTGGACAAGTCCCACTGAGAATCCGATACAAGGTAAGGACCCTCTGCCTGGGATACCATCCTATCCCTTAGGTACACATTTAGGGTATGACTTTAGGAGGTTCCCAAACTCCGTCAGAGATACTCCCCCTACGAAAACTGAGCACAGACTTATTTAGTTTCTCCAAATCCTGACCGTGGCCTTCAAGACCCTCTGTTCTATGGTCCTAGGCATCTATGCCAACCCAAGGTCACTGTGCCACTGCCTCTCCCTGCCTGCTACGCTGGACCCCACCCCTCCCACAGGCAGCTCCCACCCACACATGCCGTGCTCTTTGCAGGAACGCCCTGCCTCCTCATCAACCATCTCCTTGCTATTCTTCAGCTCACTGCTTGAAGAGGCCTCTCTAATTCTGAAAAGGCTCTGTTCCCTGATACATCCTATTTCGCAGCAATCTGCACTCCAATCACTCACATTTATTGGATTTGGGCTTCTCATCCCTACTGGCCTGGGAGCTCTGTGGGGACAGAGACCCTCTGCTGCGCCCATGTGTGTCTCAGCCCTGAGCTCACTGCCAGGCACAGAGTGGGTGCTCGGGAGGCATCTGCTAGCTGTGTGAGTTCAGTAGAACATGCATCTCCTGGGCAAAGCCATCAGGCTGGCCTTAAGTCCACTTCTCAGGCACCTCACTCCACATCCCTCCTTTCCCCAGCTCACGCCTCCTCCTCTGCAATAGCCAAGTCACCTAGATTCCAGCAAGGAAACCAAGAAAGAGGGAGAGGAAGGGGGCCCCTTCAAGTCTGAACCTTCTCTTTCCAGGCCAAGTTACCTCAAAGAGCGTCCATCCTGTGCAGACCCTAAAACTGAAACACAATGATCTCAACCATAAAATTGATACCACAACCACAGAAAGAAAAGAAAACCTCCAAGTGAATTCTGAACCCAGTGGTTCAATTATCCTTTCTCAGTAGGAGGACAACAAGAACTATACAAAAAAGTCTTTAGTTAATAGATTTAACTTGGAAGAGCTATCAGCATTGGGATTTGGAAACCATTTTATATATCTTGTTGGATATATAAAGCAAATAAGTAAAGATGTTAATATTTTCGGAATCGAGATTTTCTTTCTTATAAACAAATGTAAGAGAGAGCTGCAAGTATAAAATCAAATGAGCTAAGCAAAAGATTCACAATGTAAAATTTGAATTGGAAATGTCAGTATAAGTTCTCCAGATAGAGATAGATGATAGGTAGGTAGGTAGGTTGATAGATAGATAGATAGATAGATAGATAGATAGATAGATAGATAGATAGATAGATAGATAGGGCAATTGATCCAGAAGCAATGATGGCCCAAATTCTCAATATCAATGATCATCACCAGTACCCAGATCTTGGTTTCTAAATACCTTTCCCCACTAGGGTTCCTTGGAGAAATGGCTAATTCCAGGTCTGGGGCAGGCAATTTATAAGGTGAGCCTGGGATGATGGGTTATTCCACAAAACAAAGAAGTTCTCAAAGACAAATAAGGACATATCAAAAGGACATAGGAACCAGCTTGAAGGAGCTCCCACGGAATAAATTTGGGACAACTTGAACCCAAAAGAGAATAATAACTGTACTCAATTGAAACACATCGAATAATATAATCCATGGGCACATAATGGTACTCAAAAAAGAGAAAGCAAAATTCAAAACAGTAAAACCTCCCCTGACACCACTGAAGTGACTCCTTAATTGAAGAGAAAGAATGAAGTGTGATTCCGTGCCTTTTCAGTAGAAATTGTACTTCAGAGAAACCAAATCATCCATCGCTTTTGATGCATAAAAGTTCTTCTTCTAGGAAGAATGCCCACTCATAAATGTGGGAGGAATGATGCAGTTAGGAAATCATCATTTTGCAGCCCCTAATGAAATAATCATTTCAGGCAAGAGTCCTCAGTGGATGCTAAAACTATTAGATGAAAGGTTGATGGGAACTAGATGTCCACACAGAGCCAAAACATTACCCTACACTTGAGTCATAAAGGCAAAAACACGGCCCAACCATGCAGAGAGCTGGCTGTCGCTACCCTCACCCAGTCATCGAACTTATCATCAGTAATAATGGGATGCTCAGACACTATTTGCTTCCTGGTGTGATACAACAGAAGACACACTCAGCACCAACTAGGAAATATATATTCCTGCCAAAAATGTCAACCTTCATCGAATCAGGCCTTTGGACTCATCCACTTTGGGGGAAACACAGGGGATTAAAAAAAAGTTAATGACACCACGAGGAAATAATCAGAAGACTCTAGAACATGGGACAGGGTACGAATCCATGCCTCTTCAACAGCTTAGTGTCATAAAAAAAGAGCTGATGGCTTCAGACCAAAGAGGACTTAATAAACATAACAACCAAAGGAAACGCACAGCCCTTGATGAAATCCTGATTTGACGAAAACTGTGATCAAAGACAGGTTGGCAAATTAGACAGGCAAATTAGAACATGGGCTGTGTATGGGATGATACTAGGAAACTCATTAATTTTATTAGATGATATTGTGGGCTATGTTGAAGACTACCTTTTTTCAGAAATCCATGCTGAATTATTTATGGATAAGGTGTCATGATTCAGCAAAAAGTATAAAGAGAGAGATAAAGCAAGTCGAGCAGAAATGTAAACAATTGTTGAATCTAGTTGGTAGGTGTTTTCTTTTTACTTTTCTGTACCTTGGAAATTCTTCATAGTACTTTTTTATTAAAGTAAAGTCATTTAAAAATAACAAGTATGCAGCCGGGCACGGTAGCTCACGCCTGTAATCCCAGCACTTTGGGAGGCCAAGGCGGGCGGATCACCTGAGGTCAGGAGTTCGAGATCAGCCTGACTAACACAGTGAAATCCCATCTCTACTAAAAATATAAAAACTAGCCAGGCATGGTGGCAGGCGCCCGTAATCCCAGCTACTTGGGAGGCTGAGGCAGGGGAATCACTTGAACCCAGGAGGCAGAGTTTGCAGTGAGCTGAGATCGTGCCACTGCATTCCAGCCTGGGTGACAAGAGCAAAACTCCATCTCAAAAAAAAAAAACCAAACAACAACAACAACAACAACAACAAAAACAAGTACGCTGTGACTTTAATATACACCTGAACAATCACAGTGGTAACTGTTGCTTGCCAACTCCAAGCTACTGGAAACGCTTCCTGAAAAGCTGTCTGAAGAAGAAAGGCAAAGCCACATTCGGCCCCAAGTAGAAAAAGTTCTGTGATTGATTAGCAATGTCTGCCACGAATGTGGGTTTTGAAAGTGGTGTCTTGCATGCTACTTATTGGTCATTCTTGCTCTAAATATCATAGTCCTTCAGCTCTGCTTACCATGTGATCTTCTACAAAAGGGAAAGGAATCAAAAGAACTGGAAAATGAGAGGTTTTTTTTTTTTTTTTTCAGACTGAGCTAGAAGATATGTGCCTAGAAGTTTATGGCTAGAGTTCAACTATCACATGATAAGAATTCTGTATTCTGAAAATGCATCTGTTTTTATAATTGGAGCTACTTCATTGTTGTGTCTTGCTTTGCTTTCTAAGTAATGTGTTTCTTGAAAAGGTCCCACCTGTCTTAGCCAAGGAATGAGGACAAGGTTCTTCGTCCATGTGGGGGTGGACAGAAGGGAGCAGCGGCTGAGGACTCCCAGCTGGAGAGACCCACAGAAGCTGGCCGAGCATGTGAGGCAACTCCCCCAACAGCAAAGAAGCAGGTTCCGTGACCACCATCCCCTTCCCCCGGGCCAGGCCTTGTCAGGGGTCAGGAGGGAAGCATCACTGAGCAAAGCACCAGTCAACAATTACCCAGAGGAGTGACACCCGCTACTGTGTCATAACTGCTGTTAAAGCTCGCTCTAGCATGTTCTGATGGAGGGAAGATGCTCGGCAATTCAGGCTACTGAACCACAGAGAAGGCTGGGACACAAGGCAGAAAGCCAGTGACCCACAGGAAGGCCTGCCCTGTAAGCACAACCCAACTTGGGAGTTGGGGGGGTTGACGCTCTTGCCCACAGCAGGGCCAGACCCCCTGTAGGGCCAGGCCTGGGGGCATTGCCTTCTAGACCTGTGGTGCCCCCAGGGTTCCGGCGCAGAGAGCCTTCATTAAGCCAGTTCAATGTTTAGCTGGCGAAGGCAATGGCTTCCAGATGTTAGAGGGGCTGGGGGGCCAGCGAGCCTGCGATGCACTGGGGCTCATCTCCGTCACCGATGGGGAAGGAACGAAAAATCTGGCACTGCTACCCCAGCCAGATAGCTGCTGCTCGGCCCTTCACAGCAGATAAATCATCCCCAAGGATCATCCCAGAACACTTGACAGCCAGGGCGGCTGAGGAAGCAGGGAAAGAAAGCCAGGGGGTGAATGGGCCCCCGAGGCAGAGATGAGAACACTGAGGATGGGGCTGTGGGTCCCAGGCCCTGTGCCAGCA